GCAGTAATAGGTATTTGGTGTATTTTGACCAAGCGGCATTCGATTGACGACATGGTCAACATTATGGCGGCTCCCCAGTCAAATCTCTTTCTTTAATGTTCATACATGTACATACATGTACATACAAGCACACATATATGCACACACACATACATGCATTTCTATAACCAATAATTCCTTTTTAATATTTTGAGACGAATTATGTCCCTATTCCGTAGTTCTGGATGCCAACTGTTTAACAGATATAGCTAATTTAGACACATTTTTAGGGGTGCCTAGTTGATCATGCGTATTGGTACACTTGTTTCTGCAGTAAGGTGCTGTCGTCAACCGAAAGTTACGGGTTCAATTCTCGGCATGGTAACTACAGCTACAGCTATTTTGTTGTCTAATTATCGATTGCGTAACATGGGAGTAAAGCATGGTGAAGCACGTCTATGCCGTCTTTGAGGCCGAGATAGGAGACAGTATAACTAGCTTCTCATGGGAACAGTTAGTAGAAGTACCATAGAGTGGCTGCTGCATCGGAGGACGGAGCACGCATGGAAATGCCCAATGTGCAGTGACGTTGATTGTGATAACATAACATATGTTGTCTAATGTGTCCATCTATCTTTCTATTTCTTATTATGAGTGCCAATCAATGCATTAGGTAGCTCTAATTTTAGGATGGCCAAATATTATGGCCATGATGCGGACTGGAACCCATGATCCTCGGGTCGGTACGCAAAATCTAGACCCTGCACCACGACGGCGACAATTTGGAGTCATGGAAACTAATTACTCTCCATTCTTTATCTCCTCTACGTCTAATATCTGCCAGTTTGTTTCCACCAAATTTGTGAGGTCTTATTTGTGCTATTATTTCCCTCCCAATGCCTAGAGCCTGCTGCTTATTCAAAACATAATGCCTACAATTGGTTGTTGCCTGTCTATCGATCCGTCATTGACTGCACGTATTCTGTGACCTTGATGTGCCGTTTTCTCCCACTGGTCAATTCCTGCATTGTTTCATGTCATGGCAAAGTGTCGTTCGTCCTGATTGTTGTCTCCGTTACCTTATTATGTCCTAAAATATCTCTCCTAAAGTAGCCGTTTACAACTGTCGAATCAATATAGTCTGGCAATGTGGCAGTAGTCCTAATTTATCTACGACACAGAAGGTCACATTGGTGTATTCGATAGGATTGCTATAATTATAATTTCTTAGGCGACTGAAAAAGGAATCGTGAATCAGGAATCAGGAATCCACGGCCAGGATGCCCATTGGCTCGCTGGTAGACGACTTCGTCGCCGGTCGTGGCACATTTGGGACTGTCTCATTTGATCGCATCAACACTACAGAAGTCCCTTCAGGACTCTTGTTGGCGTGCATTTCTAAACCATTTTTATGGCGCACATAAACTAGTAACAATTATAATCTAAAGCTCCTCCTTCGGGGCTGTCGATTGAACGTGGCGATATTTTCAGCAAAGAAAACAAAATCGATTGAATCGGGTATCTAGCAACTACCCTATCAGACTAACATCTAGGATTCCGTTTTTTAAGTCGCTGCGTTGTCACTCTTTCGGTAAGTATATGAATCAAATTATAGCCCATGGTGCAATTCAAATTGATGCACAAATTGTAATTTCTGGCTCGCACAGATTTACAAGAAACAAGTAGAGGATACACTCATTCATTATCTCACTGTAAAACAGATGCACACGCAACACTCAGGTTCTGGAGCAGGACTGCAGTTCAGTAGTGGACGAGCAACCAAAACTATCCGCCAGTGTACAGCTGGTGAACGCGAAGAAGAAGAAGAAGATTCATTATCTTGTTGGGCCTTTATATGTCACATAGGGCTCACAATCTATTTCTTCATTCCATTTTATCCTGTGCAATTGCATCTATATCTTTGAGGGTCTCCGTGGCGAAGTGGTCGAGCAGTTTGCCTCATGCTCTGAAGGCCGTGGGATCATTTCAATGCTACGCCTTTCAGTTCACAAGTGCAGTTTTTACAGAGATCCCTGCGGATGGTGGCTGCAGCTACAGAGTTCGCGCTGTGTGCGGCGCTCCCAGCAGGCGGACTGGCCATTCTGCGGAGAAAGACCGAGCCATATGGGATAAAGCTGGTGCAATGAAATCGATTCTCTCGTTTTTAACCTTTAAAAAAAGTTTTGTTTACATCTAAAAATTGTCGCATCAGATGGTTGGCGTCCCAGCCTTTAGATAGCAGCCAGGAAGGGGGACGGAGAGGGAAGACAGACTGTCGGACTGAAGGTTATTTGTACGACGGTCTCCCCATTTACACGCCACTGCTTGTAGGTCAACTCCATTGATAAGTTGGTTGGACTAGTCTACCGTGGTCGAAGTTGCGGGTGTCGCAGTCTGTTGTCTTGCATTTACGTTTTTATTTCAGAGACAGAGACGGCCTGTGACATAGATTTTGTTACTCTCCTGGGGGGGGGGGGGGGGGGGGGTTATGTGTTAGACCCAGTATCTAAATGTTTTAAAAGTGTTAAAAGATCTGACATCGTAGAAATATACAACACGTGGTATCAGGGCGAGTGCGAAATATCCCTGTGACCTTGTGTGAAAGTTGGATCGCTCAAGGCCGACCTATCAGGCATGAGGCGGTCAGTAGGTCGTTCAATCAGAAGCGAGCTAGTGTGTTGCGATGTGTAAATGGGGAGACCAGCGTAAAATTCACCCGGACTGAAATATCAACTAAAAGCCTAATAACAGATTACGGAGACATGCTGATGTGATGAGATTAGAGGTTGGTGTGGGGTGGGGGAACAATTTCAAAAAAGCAAATATCAAGTTTTTCTGGCAAGACATTTACAACTTCAGTGATCGTGAGCTGTCATGTCCTGGAAATCCTACAAGAAAAGCCTTGGCCTCTGTTGTTAGGTGAACACAATTAGCGGGAAGCCCAACGGAGTTTACCGATGATCCTGTAATGTAATACGGACCGGAAACAGCCGGGGTTTACTATAAATGGCAGAAAGGAACAGAAACATTTTCGTTAGAACGCAGAAATGGATGCGGCAGTCGAGTGATAACTGAGACAAATGGGTAATGCGCACGAAGGGAAACATCTAAGATAGAAAAGATGTGCTGACAGACAGACTGACAGACAGACACAAAAGTAGACATATGTGTAGATAGGATGGTATGTCAGTAGGTAGGTAACTAGGGGGTGGATGGGTGGTATATTAGGCAAGTAAATAGAAAGGTATAGAAGCGGACAAACAGACGGACAGGAAGGACGGACAAAAAGACAGTTATACAGACATAACAAACTTTATTTGAAGAAGGTTAAGAACTGAAAACTCAGGCCCGTTTAAAATTCTGCCATCCCAGTCCTCTCGATCTAAGGGCCACAAGACCCTAGGACCTACGGACTAGGACCTTAGAACCTGAGGACACAGGAACCATGGACCTAAGGACCCAGCACCTAAGGGCATGAGGACCCTGCGATCTGAGTACCCTAGGACCTGAAGACCCTAGGAACAAAAAACATGAGGACCCAACAACCACAAGAACTGTCTTTTTCTAAACGAATTCTGCGACTTCAAGGACTGTGAAACTTGATCACTAATATTTTGACCACCTGCCGCAAAGCAAAAAGTAACCAGACGAGAAATATTTAACAATTTTGCTTCTTCCC